CATTACAGGAAGGAGGGAGGGAGGGAGGGAGGGAGGGGAACAATTTGAGCATGTTATCTCTACATCAAGTATTAAATAATATATAACAATTTAATTAAAGAGGGGGGAAAGCTCTATTGTAAATGGATTCATCAAAAGATTCTACCTTATTGGATGTCCCAAAGAATGTATCTGAAAGGATGGGCCTCAGATTTACTGCCTCTCTTCATGTGGTTATTGGGATCTCTGTTGGACCCCCAGATCCCAGATGTGAGGTCTCATGTCCAGCTCTAACTTCAACACCAAAAAGTGAATCTTGGTGATAGTACCAGCACAGGCATGAAGTTTCCTTAGTAACAGCCCAAAAGTGATTTGAGTGGCTTTCCAGCATGTATTCTGTCACTCTAGTCTACTCTCCAGGCCTGTTGGTCTCCCATCCAAGTGCAAACCAGATCCAACCCTGCTTATCTTTCTGGAGGTTCACCAAGACCAGCTCAAGATCACCAGGCAATTCTACAAGGAGGTGTGAGCAGTAAAGATGAAAATTGGCAGTCATAAAGAAAGAAAGGTTCCTTAACACTAAATACTATGTGGAATTATCTCCCCACTTTTGTGTGCTCTAGCTTGTAATTATTTCAGGTAGTTCAACCTGTTTTGTTTAAAACAAGATCATGTTAACAGGGCAGTTGGAACTGCCCTGGCAGAAGTGAACAACTTAAGGATCATATTTCAAACTTGGTATTTCCATTTCTCATCTGGGGTGATCCATAGGTGTGCAGGAGATCCCGGGCAGATGCCAATTCTGTCCGTCACTCACAGCAAAGTTGGCCCCAACCCAAGGGTTGTTCTCCATCCAAAGCATATGACGTCAGCCGCTCTTTCCTTGTCCTATCTTGGAATTTGCAGGAGTGGCGCAACTTGGTTAGTAAAAGTGTCTCTGTAAGATCACGTTACTTCAACATGACCAGGGAGGACGTCCGTGTGAAGCTCAGCTGTGTCACACAGGAAAGGAAGCAATTTTTTTCATAGAGTAAAGATGAGGTCATGATCCCTGGGGAGAACTTGCTTCACTGCTTTATGCTTGCCATAGTCCTGACATTTCCTCCCAGTGTATTTTGGCTGGCTGAGTCCCATCTGGCCTTTTGTCTTCTCCTCCAATTCAGTTCTGGATTCTCCTGGTGGGTTTCCAAGACTGCAAATTCTTGAATCAAAGAGCAAACCGAGATCCTTCCTCATTCCATGTGTACCAAATGATTGTGGAGCAAAAATACCTTTCCAAACTCTGAACCAAATTTAGGGAGCTACACAGGTCAGTTAAAGGCTCAATGGTTGAACTCACATCTCACCTTAAGCTTGGTTAGTGTTAACCTTACTTAGGGCTTGTGCGTGTGTGTGGCTTAATGTATAGTGCAAACCTGCTTGTTTACTTTATGATTCCCTGTGTTGTGAAAACCAGGAAAATAGTTTAATTCATTAACCAGGTTAACCCTATTGTGTGATCACACCTGAATTTCTCCAGTGGACGGAGACATTTTCTAATCATTTTTCAAGGGCTGGATTCCCGCTTAGCAATGAGAGAAGCATCAATTCTAATAATATAATTTTTAAAAATGATTGGAGTTATCTTTTGACATGGATGGGTGAGAAGCCAGAGAGATTGCCCAAAGTATCTGCAAGATATGGTTAAAAAAAAATCACATAAAAAAAAAAACAAGCAGAGCATCATTATGGCCATCATCTTGATCATTTGACTACACCTTACAGTCACCCCTGGAGGCTGCCAACTGTTGGTACAAGAGACAAGATATTTGCACACCCGTTCACCATCTCATCACTCAGTGGGCAAGAAAGCTGCACTCTGTCTGTAGGACTCTCTCTGAAATCCTAAAGCAACTTCTCTTTGGTCAAATGGAATGAGATCTGGTAGGAAAAAAGGCAAGGTGGTATTAAATAAAATCCAACCAACCAACCATCCTTCCATCCAGCCGATCAAGAAGGTGGATGAATCGCACTTTGCTTCAGGGAAGACCTCTTTGAAACAGCAGGACCTCTTTAAAAACCAAGCTGCCGTTCTTCCCCAACACCAAACATCTGCATTTATAGGCCAACCAGCTGCCAAGAAGGATCTTTAATAAGGGATGGGGGGAGACTCCTCAGCTTTTTTTCTCAGCCCCCTTTTCTACAAACTTGGTTCCAGGCTCCTGTTCTCTTTCCCTTCTGAGTAGGCCATTCAAAGTTCTCTTCGCACTCAGCTTCATCCAGCAGCTTTACAGAAGGGTTCTGTGTGGTCCTGCTTTTCCTCAAATACCAAGCTGGTTCAGAAGTTGACATCATCTATTGTCTTTATCTTTAGCTCCTCGTAAAGACTATGCCTTTCCAAGTCTAGGTCCAGGACATGTTCCAGCTGCCCTCCTTAGGTGTCAAATGCCAAGAACGATTGACAGCGGAGGCTGAGTTTTTGCTCAAGTGGCAAACTCTAAGCCATACTTCAGTGCTATGCCACCTGTTTTGGGTGCAGAAAGCCCCAAATGTGATCCCTAGGCAGGGTTGGGAGAATTCAGCTGGGAACGCTAGAAAGCTGCTACCAGTCTGAGCTGCCAATATAGGGCCCGGTGGAGCAACGGTCTGGGTCCTTTGGAAAGTGGTAGAATCCTTGTGCATGCAGACAGTCCTACATTTGATCCTCAGCCTGGGATTCAGCAGAGGTACTGCAAGTCAGGGTCAACAGTACTGGATTGGATGCATATATGGGTTATAAGGAGGAGCCATCGCTCGCTGGGAGGGCAATGGTTTTATAGGTGGAAGATTAGCATCTCTAAGATACTCCTCCATTTATTTATTTATTTTTGTCCATGTCTACCTTATTTGCACCTTTTAGGTAGTGAATCGTTTAGGCGAATCTCAGTCCTCCACTGTTTACTTATTTTTTTCCTCTGGCGGCGGCTGCTGCATTGTTCCCACTCTCTTTTCTTTTCCTTTTTCATTTTCAAAAGCTGTGCTTCACTGGCAACTTTCTGAGCTCCGACTGACCTTTCCTAGATCTGCTGATTCCATCTCACACGGACCTTGTAAGGAAAAAAAGAAAAGGAAAAAAAAGAAAAAAAATGGCTTTACCTGTAGGGATTACCTGGGCACTGTCTCTGGCAAAGGAAGTGAAGATGGGGAAGAAGTGATTTAGATGGGTCCCTCTGGGTGTGTTTTATGCTTCAAGGATGGCTAGTAATTTTTTCAAGGCACTCCTGCCTTCTTGCTGGATGCCAGCATCAACCGACACTAAGAGGCGGTCACTTAAAAATAGTCTTGCTTGAAGAATGTAATGGAAAGCCATGATACCTTTCACCAGTGGAAGCCAAGGAAGGACTTTGAAGGACAACATGCTGAGCCCCAACCCAATATTAAACACCCATCATTGCATCCTCCTCCCCAAATTTCCTAAGAAATGCAGTGCTAGCACATTTCGTCGCTCCAGACATTTGCCCAGATGGATGTTGTTGGCTATCAGTAGAGCTGTTGAGCTGGCAATGGTCCAGATCAACAAACTAGGTGTTTGAATGGTCTCTGTACCAGCCATTAATTTCCAGTTTGTTTTTATTGTCCTACAGTTGACTGCCAAGATCCTTATCAGCAGGTGGAATAAATGTCTCCATTCATCATGCATCAAAAGCCCAGGGAAGCAAAGAAAGTAGGAGAGAAGAGATTCCACTTAGTCAAAACCAAACTTAGGGTGGGGAGGGGTGGTTTCATAGCCAGATTTGGGTGATTCCAACTTTTTTGACCAAGAATCAATGTGCTAACACTAGATGCTAACACTACATGTCATGCACCCAGAGAAGGTGGCATTAATGTTGCATGTTGCACTAAACTATTGGGTGGCTGGTTTGATTCTGGCATCAGAGGTTGCATGAACCTGGCCAGGGGGGCTTCTCAAGCATGGTTCATGGTTGGTGCTGTGGGACTCCAACCAATTAGGGCTTCTTCCATAAGCAGGATTAGCCAAACATAGCTTAGTGTGGTGTGCAAAACAGGCTATTTCTCCATTTAGACTCTGAATGGTGCAGAGATTTCCACCCACATCCTTTGCTCTCCTTGTGTGTTGACCTCCAAACCTTCAGCCACTGTAATACATTTCTCTCCAAAAGCCACAATTTCCAGAAAGACTCTGGCATAGTGCATTTCCATATCATGTCTCCCATTCTTCCTTTTGCTTTCTCCTTGGAAAACACTACAGCATGTTTTTATGTAAACAACACAAAAACATGGGATTAAATACCTGGACTCAATAACCGGAATTAACTACATCTGCAATCCCACTCAAGTGACGTCGGTTCAGGTTTTTATAGTCTCACGGAGGTGGCTTAAGTTTGTGCTTCATTTTCCGAAGACAACTGAGGGTTCTCAACAGGACTTAAAGACTTCTGATGGGCTCGGCAAGGGTTTTTCAGAGCAATGCAATCCCAGCATTGGAATTAATCCAGATAGTCCCCAGGTTAAGGATGCCAGGTTTACGGACAACCCATAGTTAAAACGGAGCCTACTGTAGCAATATTCAAGTTAAATATACCATGATTTGAGTTAAATACACAACGGTTCGAGTTCATTACACAATACTACTTATACAGTATTATACAATAATACTGTTCCGACTTATGTACAAATTCGACTTAAGGACAGACCTCGGGAATGGAACTTGTTCTTAAACTGGGGATTACCTGTACATAGAGCCCAATCCTTTCTACAAAATCTCCTCTGTTCCCAAAGATCTGGCTTTGTTCTGCCAAATTTAATAATCTTTGCTGCCCCCAGCTGGCAATGTATGATTTCTTTTCTTTTTTTAAATCACAGTTAGGCTACAGTCTTGCACTTCCCAGTACGCTGGAACTAAATTCTCAGACGTCCCACCTTGCTAAACACGGAAGCAAAAGGTCATTTGATTTTTTTTTCTTTTTGCAAGGAGATGGGGGGGTGTATTTTAAATATACCCCAAGCGAGGGAGCAAATAACTCCATGGGAATATGGCTGACTGCACGGCTAGTCAGAAACTTTATTTTTCCGATGGTTTAAATGCCGGGGAATGAGGAGACGAAGGGGGGAAAAATGAGAAACCTGCAGAGTCTGGTGTTAAAGCAAGTTAACTTAAAAAAAAAAAAAAGGGGGGGGGACCACAAACCAACTTCAACCAACAGAAGGAAATAAGAACAATAATAATCATAATTAAAAATGCTCTTTGCTTCTCATGGAGAATTTGAAACTAATTCCACATCACATTGCTAGGAATGTTAGATGCTGCTTCCTTAATACTGTGACAACTGGTGACCTGGGTCTGCGCCATCCCAACATCCCTTTTGCACCCCTGAATCACTGCAGTCCAAGGCAACCCCACCGGTCATAGAGGTCCGTGCATCAACACCGCTGTCCACAGGGTGACCAACCCAAGGCCCCCACAGAGTCTGACGGTAGTGCATGGCAGGGGTTCAGAAGATGACGACGTGCAGGAGCAGACTTCACTTTCAGATCGGCTTTCATCATGGTAGCCCTGCTTGGAACGCCCCCCAGTCCTGGAGCTCTCAGCTGGTTCAGGAGCATCTGCCTGCATGTCACTGCACACCAGCCAGTCTTTTGCAATAGAACGCGGATAACCCGATTCGGCCTCCAGATCGTTGTCTGCAACTTTCCAATATTCCTTGCCCTTGAAAAAATAGGTGGCCCCTGGAGGGAGAGAGAGAGAGAGAGAGAGAGAAAGAAAGAATTGTATTTCAGCATGGACACCTTGGATGGACAATATTATTTGGGCAGAGATGAAGTCTTCTGAGATAGGTGTCATCAAAGAAGTGGAAGGCTACATCTCTCCTCTTCAGGGAGAGGCTGGGGGCTTCACACAATGGTTGACACAAAGGTCTGAAGAAAGGAGCAGAGTTGTTCTCTGTTGCTGCAAGGGGCAATGTAAGGGCTAAAGAGGTGACAGGGCCAAGAAGGTGGTTTTTGTCTTAAACATTAAGAGAAACTTCCTAAGGCAAGAATTCTTCAACAAGGGCATCATGAAAAAGGAATGCTGGTTAGGCAACTGGAACCTTCTGCTGTATGTATGCATATATAAGGTTTTTTGTCCCACCTTTATTATTTTTATAAATAACTCAAGGTGGCAAACATACCTAATACTTCTTCTTCCTCCTATTTTCCCTAGAAGAACAACTCTGTGAGGTGAGCTGGGCTGAGAAAGAGGGACTGGCCCAAAGTCACCCAGCCAGCTTTCACGCCTAAGGTGGGACTAGAACTCACCATCTCCTGGTTTCTAGCCTGGTGCCTTCACCACTACACCCAACTGGCTTGGTGTTTGGTGTCCTGGCCTAATTTGGGGATGTTCCAAGCATTCTCCTTACTTCTAGCAAAGTTTGTCTCACAATAACCCCCTTGAACGTCCAAACTCACCATCTGACCAGTGCGTGGCATCATCCAACTGGTTGGGAACGCCTTTCCACAACATGCTTTCTAAAGGATAACCTGCATCCATTCTCTGCTCGTGGTCATCGTAGCGCCAGTAGAGATTGTCCTTGAAGAAATAGGTCTTGTCGTTCTGAGCCCAGGAAAAGGCAGCATCGATACCTCCTAGGGGCAAGCCAAAATCCGAAATTGGCCGGGGGTAGCCTTCTTCAACATTATTGTCCTTGAACACCCAGTATCGGTCTCCTGGGGAGAAGAAAGAGGCAAGTAAGCAATCTGTCCCATGACTTCTTATTGACATCAGCCACATCTGATCCCACGAGGGAATCGGTTTCCTCCACACCTAGTGTGGCAATTCTGGACTTGGACAAAGTGATATGGCTTTTGAGTCCATGAGAACATTGAGGAGGTGCCTTGAGAGCCCAGAGGCAAAGAACAGGAATGCCAAATCGGAAAAGCATCTTGAACACTCTCTTCTGCGTGAACATTTGTTCCAGACCTAACCAGTAGAGGGCAGCATACTAAGCCAAACGCCAAACAAGCAACATTATGGCTTAATCACGGTGGGAACCCTACCATTGTACTGTTCTAATCTGTTCTAGGTAAAACGTAAGGCAGATTCCAACCAAATGTTAGCAAGCTATTAAAAGCGGTTTGACGGAATCAGTCCCTTGGGCTCCTGTGGGCTGGATGTGCCCACGTAGAATCTGAGCGTTCATCTGTTAGGGATGCTTCAAGGTGGATTCTTGCACTGAGTTGGAAGTTGATGGTCCCCTTCAACCTCTGTGATTCTAGGATGTTATTCTATACATTGAAATTGAGCTTAACTGGCCTTCTCACTCCTCTGGGCCAACCTTGCCCAGAATGGCCATAAGTCAATGATGGCATCAGCTCACACTGCATTAAGAAAATGAAAACAACCTTCAGCCTGAACCTCGGCTAACGAATGAAGCAAGCTTTTCACACAGTGGGGAAACCAAAAGTCTGGGAAAGAGAGAGTCACAAATGTCAAGCATGGCAGATGTTTCCTTCTACCTTTGAAGAACACAATCTTATGGTCATGGGTCCTCTCGTACACAGCATCCACACTGTCTAAGTTGAGAGGCAATCCCTTCCAGAAACGATGGATCTGAGCTGGCTGAAGGGAAACCAGATGCTTGTTGCGAGTCAGTCTCCAGAAATACTTGCCTGGATGGAGAAGATCCAGTTAGTAACGAGGGGAGGAAAGCTGGCTTTATTCATATGGCAATCAAAAGTGTGGATTAGCATTCTGCAAGACTCTCTCTTCTTCTCCAGAAGATACTAGACCAAAAAGGTACAGGTAGACCTCGACTTATGACCATTCATTTAGAGACAGTGCTGAAAAAAGTGACTTACAACCAATCCTCACACTTATGACCATCACAGCATTCCCATGATCACATGATCAAAATTCGGGCACTTGGCAACCAGCATGTATTTACATCAGTTGCAGTGTCCCAGGGTCATGCGATCACTATTTGCAACCTTCCCAGCCAGCTTGTGACAAGCAAAATCAATGGGGAACTGTGTGATTCACTTAATGACCATGTGATTCATTTAACCACCATGGTGATTTGTTTAATGACTGCCAAAAAAAATGTTGTAAAATCGGGTGTGGTCACATGATGCCTTGCTTAATGACTGCACCACTTATCAAATTTTCTGGTCCCTATTGTGGTTGTAAGTCGAGGACTACCTGTAGTGAGAAAGGGTTAAGTCCTTTCCCAATGCTATAGAGATTTGTGTAGCTCAGTTGAGGCCATGTATGGATCGTTAAAGATTTCTGGCATTCTAAGGGCAGAGCCTGCAAACCCAAATCTTCCCAGAGCAGAAATATTTTCTGTAAATCAAGGTAGCCCTTTCCAAATATACATTCAAGAGAGCATTGGCCTTCCACAGCTTTAGCAGCTGGTGACATTGTATTTCCACACCGGAGGGACATTAAGCCCAGGCTGAAAAACAAAGGAGGCAGAACTTTCAGCCTTTGAACCTCTGCAGGATGGTTCAGGGTTTTTTTTGTAAATCCCATTATACAAATTCATACCACTTTGCTCTACTTTCCTCCTTCGCATTATATGACATTGATCTATGCGTGAATCATGTGCCATCCTGAAGAAGGGGGATTTATAAACCCTTTCAAATTTGCTAAAAAGGAAATCGGAGGAAATATGGGAGGTAGAGGAAAGCAGTGTTCAAATTGGGTCTCTTTGCATCTTTATGGGAACTATACACGATTAAATCAGGATGTTCTTTGCATCCGTAATGAAGCTTTTACCATGCCATGGGGTAAGGCCCTCCGTTTAGTTTCCAATATCTTTGTGAGAAATGCCATTGATTTAAGTGGTTTCTCCTTCTAAACAGTATTTTAGAAGCTCAAAGTTCAAAGCGCTCTAGAAGCTAATTTGACAGGAGGGAGAAATGCATGAACTATGTGGGGATGGGGACGGCACCAGCTTTGCATACCAAAACCTTCAGATTTAATTCACGGCAGCTCCAGGCTGGGATGGAAAATTCCTGCCTGATTCCTTGAAGAGGTGAGACCAGTCAAGGTTAACCAGGAGTGGAATATTGGGAAGAGTTCTAAAGGGCTGAAACTGGGAAACTGAATTTAGCAGAGGTTAAAATTCCTTATTTCACCCTTAAACCTCCCCCCGGTGTAAATAATTGTAACAGAATGTGGGGATAACCTTGATGAAGGAATGGATGAACCATTAAGGGAGGAAAAACGACAACAACAAAAACAGCAACAAAACAGAGCCATTTTGGTCTAGTGGTGAAGGCCCCAGGCTACAAACCAGGACACCATGAGTTCTAGTCCTGCCTTAGGCATAAAAGCTGTCTGGGTGACTTTGGGCCAGTCCCCCTCTCTCAGCCCAACTCACCTCACAGGGTTGTTGTTCTGGGGAAAACAAGAGGAGGAAGGAGTATGAGGTATGTTCACTGCCTTGAGTTACTTGTAAAAATAATAAAGGCAGGATAAAAAAAATCCCACAGACCTAGGAAAGTTGAATGCATGAAAAAGAGACTCAAAATGGGTACATTGATTCTGTTTGGTATAAGATGGAGTAAAGAAAAACTCTGGCAGGATTCTGTTATCATACCCTACAACAGCAAAGTAGCTTTCCTGGAATCCTTGTGCCATCTGCTTCTTGTCTTTGAAGGGCTGACAATAATACTAAATTAGGGGAATTAATATGATAGAAGGCAGATGACAAAAGCACCAAAATCTGTCCCCTCATTTCAAACCTAGGAAAGTGTAAAGGTATGTGGGAAAGACCTTGGGAGACAGGGCCAAGAGACACTGCCAAGGGAATGGTCAAATAAGAGGTGGCATAGCCCACAGCTGGATAATGGAAGGAGCAAAAGGCTCAGAAGGGACCCTCCCTAGTTTCTCAGGCTATAAAGGAGATGGGGGAGAATTGTACTTTCAGACTTGCAAGATTCTGCCAATGTAGCCTTACAGTAAAATAGAATTAGCCTATCTGGTTGTGTCTCCTGTCTGGTCTACCTAGTAAGGCTGAAAGAAACTGAGTCAACTTGCTCTGTAGTATCAAGGCTGGGTAGTAGTAATTCCCCAGGGTTTTAGTAAAGCATTTTCCTAGCCCTGCCCAGGAGAAGTTGGGGACCAAACCCAAAACTTTCTGCATACAGAAGTGGGAAGCTGGTTGCCATGTTTCTGCCCTTCCCCACATCAGCTCACCTCTGAAAAAGAAAACTTCTCCACGGATCTGAGCCACGGCGTCAAAATGCGTGCTGCATCTATTTGGCATGTCTCTTCTAAACCTAATGAAAAGGGGGAGATTAAAAATAAATAAAATAAACAAAGCAATCATTAACTCACCCTTGCCTGGCCAATCTACCTTTGGCTCAAGGTTGAAAGGAAGCCTTTTTAATTCTTGCCAATTCCAGAGTGAGAAATTTAAGCATGCACCGAAGTCCACCAACGACAACAAAGGGAGCTGAGAAGACTACGTTTGTCTGCATCAAAGATCTTCCCCTTTCATTTATTTTTTAAATGAAATCTGAACATTCTGGGAGGGGGCTCTTTGTCAACCATGTCTCCCCCATCGCAGTGCTTGCAAGAAGCCAGGCAGCATGTATGCAGGGATGACCTATTTTCCTGGCATTAAAAAAATCCCTCTGCTCACATTTGCTTGAATTCATCCAAAGTTATCTCAAAATTACATCTGCTGAGAGGAGAGAAATGGGGTGAAATCTAGTTGGCTTGGAAGCGGTTACCTGCACATTGCCTCCTGAAAAAAAAATGCCCCTGAAGGAGAGAGCACCACAGATATCTCTAAATCACCGGGGATTGTGAAAATGGGACAGGAGAGATTAGCCGCTTGCAAGGAGGGTTCAATTTTTTATCCAGAATGAGTTTCCTCCTTGAAACAGACTGAGCCGCTGAATTGCAAGCTTACTTCATGGTCTAGAGTGGAAGCCCTTTAGATCTTCTTGGAAGGATGACCTCTTTGCCTTCTGATCAGAAAGCGATCTCTTCGTTATTTGCCAACTATGGCTCTCTCCCCAAAGAATGGGATTAAGGAGGCCAACTCAGTTTTCAGGCGCATTGGTGAAAAATCAAAACAAATCTTGGAATCCAAGACGATGTCCATCGAGAATCAGGTGCATACTGGATCTCCCAAAGAGAACCAGGTTCAAACACAAGATGGTGTTTGAAGCTCAAGATGGTGTTTGGAGCTCAAGATTGTGTTTGAAGCTCATGGTTATAGCCCAGACCACAGGCATCTGCAGGATGGGTCAAGGGGGGGACAAATGATGCACTCCTGTGACCCAGGCTCCACCCTTTTTATACATCACATGCATGTACAAAAAAGGCAGGGATTGCATTGCCAGAGTTCAATACTGCTTTTCATCATTTTGACAAAAGTCTCTGATGCTGTGGACCCTTTTGGCCCAGCCTATCTCTCAAGCTATCCTTCCTTGTTTAAATGTCTCTCTTCTAAGCCTTTAAACCACAACTTGTAAAAGAGGCATATAAACAATTTTAGGCTACTGTTACTTGTTTTATGATCGTATGCTCTGTACATTCAGTTGCATTTTAATTCTATGCATGTTCTGGAGATATTGGGTATGATGGTGATATGTAGATGATGATAATGTTATTGACAATTATGATGATGACTTTTATTATTCAGCTCTGAGCCACAGACTGCCTGTTCAGAATTCAAAATCTAAGTGCTTCCCATCTCTTTATTGTTAAGTTTCTTTTTTAATCCCAATAAAGTTCTCATATATAATTCAGTCACATTAGAAACTTGCTGAAATTCCAGTTTTAAAATGTATAGGAGAGTCCCATTAGTGTTCCAAATCTCCGTTTGGCTGCTTTTCTCCAACCAGCACCAGTTTCCAAAACGGGAATTCAGGGCACAAAAATGACACATACCAATCTGCCTTAGCATCTTCCCCTCCAGAATTTGGGCTTCAATCCTATAATATCCAGTTCTTCTGAGAACCTCAGACAGAAGATGGTTGCTATGCACCTTCCTTGTTTAAAGTACTACATGTCTGATATATGCACCTGATCAATTCATTCAAATACATTCTGCTTCAAACAGAAGATATGATATCTCCAATGGAGATGTCAGAACTTATATTCTTGTGATGGAATGGAATTATAAAGGCCAAGATCAGGGAGACAAACATTTTCTCAGCTCGCCAGAACCGCGTGGGAGGAACAAGAGGATGAGACTGCTGCAATATACAGTTTAAGGATGCCCAGAAGTGAGCTTTGCTG